GCAGCTTCAGAGAACAATATAGGGGAAGTGTGGGGGGGATTCTTTCAGGGCGGGCCCTATCATGCCTACTCCTGAGGAAGCAGGAGGGACAGCCATGGAGAGATCTGTCCTTTAGATCTTGAATTAGGCTGTACCCCCACTGAGTGGTGGGCAAGGCTGGGGGGCAGGCAGGAGCCTCTGGGTCAAACAGCAGAGCTTGCGATTCATCCCTGGCCTGCTTGTGGCCTGTGTAGCAGGGAAAGGACCTGGGAGCACAGGCAGCAGCCCCAGGGAGACAAGCTGTGAAAGAGCACTGAAACCAGAAGAGAAGCTGAGAGGAAACGATGACTCATGGGCACAGCATCAGTTCCAGGAGTGGGGGAGAGGCTGCTGGAGGGGAAGGGTGGGGCTGGTGGTGGAAGGATTTCTTTTAAGAGAGAGAAAAGACTATTTACTTTTTCCATCAGACCGGCTAACGTAATAAATATTTTCTTATTTATTTATTTAGTTTTTAATAACATGCACTCATTTTTTAAAGGCGCCCATAGAGGGGCATCCTACAAAATCTGGACTATGGTCTCCATTACTCCACAAATTTAAAACAGTTCTAAGAATTTCTATAACTTTTTCTATTACATTTTTCATCTTCTTTTACATATATTATCTTCTCTTCTATTTCTCCTTCCTCCGAGTGCTAATAATCTGTGTTTCCCTTAGGAAGCCACGTTTTCTTGAGAGTACCAAGTTTGCCCTTTTCCTCCTTGGCTCTTCATCCTCGGATGATGAGTGTTTAGAGCAAAGATCAGGTTTCCAATCCAGCTTATTTCCTTCTCCTTCTTTTCTCTCCCAGCCTCATTCTCTTGTATGATTTGGCAAAGAGGCTTCTTATATAGTTGGACCCAATAGCCATAGCCCCTTAGATTTCTGTAGGATTCTAGAGTTTGCCAACTGTGTTGCCAAATTAATCTTATTTTCACCACTGTCCTGGGCAGGAGGATTATCATTATTACCATTTTGCAGGGGAGGAAACTGAGGCTCAGAGTGCTTGGGTGACCTGCCCAGTCACCCAGGCCTGTAGGCCAAGGAGCAGCAGGACCTGGAAACTTCTTTCCCACTCTCTGATGAGCTAGGCTGTGGGGAGGGGCATCCTATAGCCAAACACCTCCCAGTCAGTGTTCCAGGGGCCAACTCTTTGACTCCTGGGGGGCAGAGGCAGGGTGACCCACCACTGAGAGGCCCGGAGATCATTTACCAGGTTATCATGAAATAGAGCTGTGCTGTTTCAACAACTCTGACAGCACTGGAAGCCTTAAGTCCTCCCCAAGCTAGCCAAGGGCCTGGGGGGCATCAAACCAGAAGGGCTGCCTTTCCCTGAAGCTGTGAGGGCTGCAGTAGTGGGGGAGGGGGAGGGAAGAGGGGTGCTGGTGGAATGGACATTGGAGAGAGCTCAGTGAAAACCACATGTAGGAGGAGCAGCTTTTGAATTTCCTGGACCTCTGGGGACACCCAAGTGGCAATCACCTGTAAAAACAGGTTGCAACTAGCAATTCCAGAACCATATTTAGCTGTGGGGTCAGCCCAGTGGGGGCACATCGTGGGTCTTTAGCCCTTCCTCCAGATGGGCAGAATATTCTCTATTCTTAACCCACCAAGGTCTGTAGTGCAGGGGGCTCCTAGTTAGAGAAGTTCTGCAGAAGTAGTCTGAATAACTTTGTGAGGCTTCAAGCTAAGTCTGTGCACAAGCCGTTGCTGGCAGCACTGTAAAGGCAGACGGGCACGGGAGCAGGCATGGGGGAAGTCCAGGTCGGAGGGTGGCACTGCCCAGGTTCACTGAGTGGGCTGAGTAGGTCTCAGGACAAGAAACATGGACAGAGAAAATGAATTTGGTTTTGAGACACATTCCCTTAACACAGCCCGGCAACTCAGAGGGAGTCTGGGATTATGAAGAACACAGAAGAGTTAAAATTCAGATCAGAGGGGCCTCCCTGGTGGGGCAAGGGGTTAAGACACAGCACTATGAAGCTATCCTCAGCCACCACTGCAGCACGAGTTTGATCCCTGGCCAGGGAGGTGACCCACATGGCACAGCAGACCTCTCCTGACTCGCCTGCTGCTCCCCTCAGCAGTGTATTTCAGAGTAGATCCACCTGCTCTGTTCCCCACTCTGTCTCTGGTGACTCCTCTCATCCCCCACACCTCTGTTCTGTACCCCAGTTCTGGTATACATAAATAAATAAATCCTTAAAAAAATTCAGATCAGGGACCTCCCCAGTGGCGCAGCGGTTGAGCGCTGGGTTGCGAAGCTGCCCGCAGCCTCTGAAGCGCCGGTTCGATCCCCGGCTGCTCCCCGGCCACCAGAGGAGGGTCCCACCTGGCGCGCAGACCTCTCCTGCCGCCCGCTGCTCCCCTCAGCAGTGTACTTCGGCCCTTCTGCCTGCTCTGCTCCCTGCTCTGGCTCTGGTGAATTCTCTCACCCTCCTGCGCTTCTGACTGTACCCAGTGCTTGTATAAATAAATAAAATAAATAAATAAAAATAAATCTTTGAAAAAAAAATTCAGATCAGAGCTCTTTGGCAGTTCTTGCTTGTAAAAAGTACAGCTGCCCCCGGCCCCCATCTTGCCTTCCCAGTCGCCCACCATCAGTTTTCTTATCTGCATAGTGGGGATGAAAATAATAACTTCAGAATTGGGATGACTGCAAGAGAGAATGCAGTGAAAAACAAAAGATGAAATTCAACTTTAGTGTCCATAAATAAAGTTTTACTAAAACAAAAAAATGTTGTATGAGTTGCACACCTTTGTATAAGTGACAGGTCCATGCCTCCATTCTATGTGAGATAAACAAAGAACTGCAGGTGCCATAACCCACATGCTGTGCCAAGCAACAGGGAAGGCTTTAGAGGAGCTGACTGCCATACCTTAGATTACTGAGGTCACCTCACTGACTTCCATCTCTCAAATTTTTAGAAGAGACTGAGAATCCAAGTGGTGACTTGCCCAAGGTCTCCCAACCAAGAGCCAAGCCTGGACTCATATCTCTGGACATGTGGCTGGATGCCCCTGCCACAGTTCCTGATGCTTCCGAAGCTGCTGGGACTTAGTGACAGACAGCAGTCCATCACTACCCTGTGCCCAGAAGCCCAAATAAGGGTGAGAGTTCAGTAAACCACATTCCATAGGCTGCAATCTAACCAGAATCCGCCTAAATAAAAGGCCAAGAAAACAAAATGGACAATGAGGCTTAAAAAACCTTAGATATTACAGGCCAGTTACTAGGAAATTTGAGTAAGACTTACATTTAATCTTCTATTTGATATGCTGTACATCATGGGGAATTTCCCCTGTCGCCTCTCCACATGGCCTGGTAGTACTTAAATAGCACTTAAGTCCTATATTTGTTACTTGTAGTTGGGCCCTTAAGATGTTGGTCAACTTTGAAGTGAATGTTTGGTCGAGGTGTGGTACTTAGCCTAACTGAGGAGTAAATCCACATGTGTCCTGGTGTGCTTGTCTCCGCATTCTCTACAGCCCCCAAGGTTGTTCAATTTCTCTATCAACTCCTAACCCTGTTAAATTCCATTCTCTCTAACGAACATTCTCTCTAGCGACTTTTCGAGAGCATCTACTTCAGGTGCTCAAGGGTCCCTGGACTTCTATTGTTTGTGGGGGAGAGTCAGGAAATGGGAGATATGCTTTCTGCTGGTAAGAATGTACTCCGGCATCTCTGGTATCTGCACACAGAGACATTGCTTCACCGGGGCTTGCCTGCCTAGCCTGGGTCATGTTCTCTGCGAGAGGAATTTCTGCAGTGTGCACAGCCTAATGATTCACACAGCTGCCCCGACATCCCTCAGAAGTTGAAAATTTTCCAGGCCCCTTTATAGGGAGTTCAGCTCTGGGGTTAAACACACAGCTAGAGTCAGACTGTCTGTATTTATATACCAGGCCCCACTGCAGCTGTGAGCTTAAACAAGTTACTCCCAGGATCTTGGTGTCCTCCTTATAAGGTGGGCTTGATTACATTTCCTTAGAGATTTTGCAAGAATAGATTAGTAACTGATACACAGTACAGAGTCAATAAATATGAGCTGTTCTTATTCAGAGTATCAGAACCTCTATGAGGTGGGCCAGGGAAGGAGGTACAATTCAAGTTGATCAATTTTGATAATGATGATCTGGTTTGGGAACCAAATTGACGCTAATGTCAGGAAACAAGATTTTGGTTTATTGGAGCAAACAACCTGCTCCAGTGATCATGGACCTGCATTTAGTAGAGTAAGGAAAAAACAGTGTATTCTCTGAGAATCTAAAATAATGGTCACAGGCCAACTATTGAGACTGCTTCACAGAAGTTGGAGGAGTTTTCACACCAAAGCTGAAGACCCCATAGATTCTAGTTCTCAGCAGGCACTATATCCAGAAACAAATAAGCAAGCAAAGTTTCCGATCCTCGCAGTCCAGCTTCTCCAGCTAACCTTAATTAGAAGAATATCACCACTGCTTCTACAACATTCTAAACACTGCTGTGATGCCACTGGCCACTGTCCGGCAAACACGCCATGGCCACTGCCCTGGGCCTCTAACTTGCTCTCACAGCCAGCAGCGAGCACCAGGGTTTCCTCTTCCTTCACACTGAGTCACCATCCCCTGTCCTGAACCCCAGAGAACTAACGGTTCACTGCTGCCACTGGCCTGGGGGAGTCCTCCCATCTGGCCTCAGCCCAGAGAGGGCCACTGGTAATAGAATCCCCAAGAGATACAGAGCCCGAAGTGTGGCTGAAATTGGAAGCCCCTCAGTCCTCTAGTGGGAGCATCTTTGTAAGCTCAACAACCAGCCCATAGCAGCGGACACAGGAGGCCCACTGTGTCCTTTGGGGACAAGAAACTCCAGGAAACTTCTGGAAATGGAAATCACCAAGCTGCTTGGGAAGAGAGAGCAGCCAGAGAGGATCCCTCAGCCCTTCCACTCACAACCTGCAGCCAAGACCCTGCTGCCAGCTCTGGATGCTGGCATCACTCACCTAGGGCTCCTTGGCAGATGTCTGTGCGGGTGGCTCCTCCAACAATAAACTGGGGATCGTCGCAGATCTCCTAGAACAAGAACCACAAAGTGCTGTCAATCCAGTAGGCACGTGTCTTTGTAGTTAGGACACCTCAGTTTCCACTGGGCTCCCTTCTCTCCCTTGCCCTCCCCTGTAGGAAAAGTTCTGCAGTTACAGTTAGACTGCATCCAGTCCTTCCCTGACCCCTGATCCAAGGGTGCTAAAAGGTGATGGGGGACATCCCTGGCTAAGAAGGGCAGTCATTGGACTCCTACATTCCCAACTACTTAGAGTGTACTTTATTGTGCTCCTTCCGAGGACCACAGCAACACCAAGTCCAGCCTTCTCTGCTGGGTATTGAGACCACCCACACTGGAGCTGCCCTGCCCACTATACTAGCCCCGCTCCTCTGCTCCTGCATGTCAGCTGATTTGTCTGTATGGAATTCTTCTCTTTTCCACCCTAGCTCTCCTTTTCCATAGCTTACCATGTTTCAAGACTCACTTAAGTCTTGCCACCCCCTCCAAGAAGGCCTCCTTTACAGTGGAACCCTGAGCCAACTCTTTGATTCTGAGTCCCAGAGGATCTGTTCTCTGCAATTTGATATTTAGTTGTGCACTGCCTGATGGCTATCACTCTGTCTTCCTAACACTTAGGTGCTTCTTGAGGAAAGGGGATGTCTCCAGCCTTCTGAATTCTCCCACAGGACCACAGAGCATCCATACATTGCGTCAATACTGAACCCTGTGCTTTGGTCATGTAGCCCTCTCAGGCACACAAGATGGGTGCTGTCCCCATTTTACAGGTAAGGAAACAGGCCAAGGAGGTACAGCAGTGTATCCAAAGTTACACTGCTCCTAAGTTACAGATTGCACTGGGGTTTGAACTTACTGTGTGTCTGCTCTTTCTACTCCTCCTGCTGGTAAGTGAAAAGCCTCTAAGGGTGTTAAAGCCCCAAGCCTGTCCCACAAGCAGACTGACAGAAGGCAACCTAGAACAGTTCGGGGCCCTTTGAGTGTTTCCTGATTCTGAAGAGGTCCACCCCAAAGCCTAAATTAGGGCCTAAATCTGGCCCTCTCTCAACTTGGGCAACTGTGGTTTGTAGGAGCCCTGCTCCACACCTCTTGGTCACCACCTAACTCTAACAGAAGTTTCTCCTGGGCGAGCGCCTATCCGTCTGGCTTTGACTGTAGCAGCTCCCCAGGAAGCACAAACTAACACAGCACATTCCTTCTATGTGCTGTGTGGTCACCTCCCTGTTCAGGTTGGTCTGCTCGGGGCGTGACAGACACCAAGAAATGCTTTTCTGTTGAGGCAAACAAAGCCAACTTTGGCTGAGGCCCACCAGCCAAACACTGAGCCAATGGGACGGACAGGGTTTGGTGCTGGGAGTGCAAGAATCATATTACTAACTCCCAATGCACCAGGCACTGACTCCAGAAGGATTTTTCCATTATGTTTCAGAAATTTTCTGTCTTTGGCAGCCTCTCCATAGACGGTCCAGTTCAGGATGGCACTTGGAGACATTTCAGAAAATTGTGCTGTGCATAGCACGCAGGGGATGGAAGTAAATACAGAATGTAACAGCCAGAGGAGTGGGCTAGAGGGCTTGAGTTTTGCATTCAGACCAGCTGGGTTTGAATCCTGGCCCTGCCACTTCTCCCATGGGTTCTATGACGCTGGCAGGTTACTGCACTTTCTAAGTCTGTTTCCTCATCTATAAAATGGGGATGGTGATGTGCCGACCAGATAGGGCTGTTGTGAGGATGAAAGGAAATTACTGGGTATTAAATGTGCACTCCATAAAAGCAACCTATTATTATTTTTGAAGAATAATGATGATAATAATCACTGAACTCGGAGGCAGGTGATGCAGGTTGGAAGTTGAGTTCAGTTAGCTGAGCTCCTCAGAGGCTTGGCTGTCTCAGGGAAAAATGGAAAGGAACACCACTTGCCTGTTCCTGACAGGGCCATCCTCATGCTCCCACCTGAGAGCGCTGTACTGGTGCTCCGACCTGATGGTGCTGACCTTGGGAGCTTCTCTCTCTCCTCACCCTGCCAGGCACCACCCTGGGCATCTCTGTGACGTAGCCATTTCCTCTTCTGCCCCTTTCCCATCCCTGGCACAGTTCTGTTTTCAATGTTGCAAAATCCTCTGAGGAACATCAGTCCCTCCTGCCTTCCCTGCAGGCCCTCCCCTTCCTTGAGACCCTGTTTCACTTTTTCCTCCCTGCCTTTGTCTTTGATCCTTTCCTCTCCAGTGACTCAATATATAACGCATTTGCGTTTTCATCTAAAAAAAGTCTCTCAAACCAGCTGCTGCTGTCTCTTTCTCTCTGCATACACACACACACACACACACACACACACACTCTGATGCGATCAGCTGCTCCCATTCTTCAGTTCTAGTTTCTAATGTGGAATCTGTAGCAAGCTGGCTTCTACCTCACCTTCCCATTTAGATCCTCTCTTCAAGTCACCAATCACTTGTTAATGTCCTGAGTGTGTGTGGGGGGGAGGGTCTGCCCCCAACAACAGTGTGTCTGAGAAGGTGGGATGGAGGCAGAGGGGCAGTCATAAGTTGTGGGTCTAAACACAGGCTGGACACAGCCCTCACTCCACCTATATGAGCTAATATTTAACCTGGGTCTCAATTTCTTTAACTGCTGGATGGGAACATAATAGCCACAGTTCCCTGGTTGAGCAGTGCACAGCCTGCCCACCTTGAGCATTGGCCCTGAGATGGCTTGAGATCTCCATTTCCCCATCTGGAGATTTCAGGGGACTTTGCAACTATTGGGTAACCTGTCTGTCTCCCCCCACTAGCCCCTAAAGTCTTCAGAGGAAGAAACTATGTGCACTGGGCCTGGCAGATAGAGGTATTCAATAAATGCTTACTGAATAAATGAAAGCATAAGTAAATGAGTGTGCAAATTCATTTTGTAAGCTGTAAAGTGAGTACATTCTTTTGTTTACCATGTTTCACAACCAACGTTTTATTTGAGGTTCATTACAATTCTGCATTCTCTCAGCCCACAGCTACTCACATTTTGCTCTCAGATGTATCATAAACACTTAAGACAGAGCCTGGCATATAATAGGCACTCAATAAATACTGTTGAATGAATGAATGCATACAGTGGAAGGGCACTAATGGTGCTAGGCACTGGGGATATACTGATAAAGAATATGCACATGTCCTTGTAGTTCAATAGAAAGTACAAAGATAGATAGTTATTGATAGGATTGGTGTGGTAAAGAAAAGGAAAGCCAGGCTAAGTTTCTCACAGGCAAGCAATTTACTGCATTCATGGCGGAGGTTCGCTGACCCCCGCAGGGGTCAGAGAAATCGTACCCATTTGGGGATAAGGGCAAGCTTTTATAGGGCAGAGTCTGGCCTTGGAGGAAGGCGGAGAATGCGGAGTCAAAGTTGCTTTTCAAAGAATTTTTTCTCTTGGAACTGGCTGTTCTTTCAACGCTGCTTATCAGGGTCCCGTGCAAACTGGGCAGAGCCGGCTCCCAGGAAGCAGGTGGCAGCAGTTTCAAACTCCCCACCTCTGAACTCCATCTCTGCCCTGGCCTCACCTCGACCTTACAGTTATGAAAGCACTATGAAGAAAATTAGCAGAGTTCAGTGATAAAGAAAAACAAGATGGCGAGAGGGCTGCTACAATTGGTCAGAAAGATGTCTCTGGGGAAGGATCATTGGACACGTCCCAAAGAATGAGAGTGAGTCACACTCCTGGAAATCAGGCAAGAATTGTCCATGGCAGGTGAGAAGGCCCAAGGCAGGAAGGAACTGGGTGCCTTGAGAAACTGAAAGGCGGCTGGACCTTGTGGACCAGTGAAGAGAGGAAAGCATTTAACCATCTCCTCTTCTAGATGAAGAAGCAGAGGCAGAGAGGGTAAATGGCTTGGGCAGACTGGTAAGCTACCAACTCAAGTTCTCCCAGCCAAGGCACCTCCTACTGCACTTGCTGCCTTTGGGCTGGGTTTAGTGTAACAGAAGGTGACCCGGAGGCTCTGAGGCGTGAAAGCCAGGCAGGGATGCTTATTTTCATAACAGGAATCCAGAGGTTGGACTGCCCAGGAAGTCATGTTTAAGTTTGGAAAGGGAAGCGCCATCAGGTGTCCTGAGCAAGGGAAGCCAGCAGGGGTTCCGCCAGAAACAATATGGACAACTAAGTCAGTGAGGAGACAGTCCTGAGACCTGCCAACGGAGAGACAGACAGTGGGGTGTGTGTGGGGGGAAGGGGTTGAGGTGGATAGGAGAGGCGCAGGGGCCCCTGAGTTCCCCTGAGATTCCGGGCCAGCAGAATGAGGAGAAACTGAATCCTTATTGCAGTTTCTGTCCTTAATCACCAGCGTTAACAGGAAGCGGTCTCTCCAGTTCCCATTTGGAAAAATAAATAGGAAACTCTATTGCATAAATCCAACCATGACTGAGTGACAAAGCGACCAGGCTGTGGACTTGCCTCCTCCCTGAAGCAGCTGGAACCCGAGTTAGAGATTAACTTTTCCTAGGCGTGTATCACCTCCCACCCTCCTTGCCCCACAGACCCCCCACCCCACCCCACCCACTCTCTCTCTATGGAGTGCACTCAAAGTTCCCCCAGGGCCCCGGCGGGCCTGCTCCCGGGCTTTGCGGGCGTCTGGCGCCTCGGCCAGTCCGGGGGCAGCGCTGAGTGGAAGAGCCCCGACGCGGGCTCCGAGGCCGCGGCCAGCGGGGAGCCTCCCGGCCCGGCCGCCCGCAGAGTAACTGGGCGGCAAAGCGCAGGGAGAGGGAGCGCGCGCGCGGGGACCGGGTGCCCTGGGCGCGCGCGGGCTCTGCGCCGCGGTCCTCCCGCCGCCGGCCCCGGGCACTCGGTGGCCCGGAGGCCTGAGCGCCCGCGGCCCCCACGCCCGCCCGCCCCGGCATCCTGCCGCGCTCCCTACCGTGGGCCGCTTCCACTCGATGCCCCGAGTCTTGCTGGAGTGGGGTCCCAGCTCCTTGAAGCCCAGGGAAGAAGGGATGGCCGGGAAGGAGGGGTCCTGGAAGAGCGCCCCGGCCTCCAAGCACTGGTCCCGCAGCACCTCGTAGTCCTGGTTGAGGTACTTGATGGCCTTCTCGTGCGACCCCAGCCCCTCGGCAGCCTCCCTGTCCTTTACCAGCTTGTACGCGATCCCCGCCATGGTGCGCGGCGCGGGCTGCAGGGGAGCGAGCGGCGGGCCGGGCGCGGGCGCAGGAGGGGCGCGGGCGCAGGAGGGGTGCGGCAGGGCCCGATCCGCCGCTGGACTGCGCTGCGCCGGGCCGGCGGGTGAGTCACCCGCGGGAAGCGCCCTCCGCCGCGGGGTGTGGCCTCGGCGCGGCCTGCTCGGCACCCGGCCGGCCGCCCCGGGTCTGCAGTGCGCCGGCCGCCGGCGGCCGCGGGCCGGTGCTGCCACCTGCGGACAGCCCCGGGATGGGCCTCTCGTCTGGGTGGAGAAGTTGGGTGGCAAACAGAAAGGCCTTAGGCAATGCCTCCCTCCCCCCTCCAGGGGAAGAAGGGTCAAAGTTGACTTAAGTGGAGCTATTTAAAGATGGGGCAGGGACAGCCACTCCAGAGGCATTACAAGAATAGGACCAAGAAGCCAGAAGGAGAATATCCCGTCTGAAAGGTCTGCTAAAAACGAACCTTTGCCTACTGTTACCCTGTGACCCGTCAGCTTCGCCAATCCATGAAGTGCCAGTCTAACCTTGTTTGTCGGCAGCAGTTACCTCATCCTCTCTTTCCATAAAAATCCCTGCCTTTCCCCCCTCCTCAGGACACTATTTGGATTTCTACAGAAAGCTGTGCTCCTCGAATTATATTCTTTGATCCCAAATAAACCCTTAGTTACCTCTCATTTTGGTTCGTTAGTTTAGGTTGACAGAAGGGTGAAACCGAAGGCTGGGCACTATGACTCTCCAGGAAACACCCTGTGAGTCAGTAGATGAGGCGGTGAGGTTCAGGAGATTAAATTGGCGGCCTCATTGGGTCCCGGAATTGATGCCGCTTTCCTAAGGGCTGTGCATACTTATTTAACCCTCCCAGCGACTCTGTAAGAAGGTGATGGTACTTTACACCTGCAATCCGTTTTACAGACGAGAAACCTGAGCATTCCCCAGTGTCCCACAACTAGTCACAGGCAGAAAAGGATTCTGAGTCCCCAAGGTCTGCTATAATTATCATGCTATTGATCAGCTGTTTGATCACACATAGAGTTGCCAGACGTGGCAAATAAAAATGTATTTTTTATTTGCAGTTAAATGTGAATTTCAGATAAACACCAATAATTTTCTTGCAGCAAAAGCAGGTCCCAAATGTTGCATGGGGACATACTTACACTAAAAATATTAGTCCTTGTTTATCTGAAACTTGCACTTAACTTGGAGGAGTGAGTCAATATTGGTGAAACACTTAGAAAAGTGTCTGTGTTAGTTGTCACTGTGACTACTCTGTTAGAGTGATGCATGAAATTCCAATTAGATTGAAGGACTCAGCCTTCCTTCCTTCCCCATACTACATGGAAGAATTTGTGTTTCGGTGGAAAACTATGCATAGTTTTGAATGTGCCTTAATGAATGTGCCTTCTCCACCCCACTCCAGTGGATACTTGACAATATCTCAAGACATTTTTTGTTGTTGTGACTGGGGAATAGAGTGCTCCTGGCCTCCACTGGGTAGAAGTCAGTTATGCTTCTAAGTCTCTAACAGTACCAGGGACAGTCCCAGCAACACAAGATGATCTGGTCCAAGATGTGCGTAGTACCCAGGTTAAAGAAACCCTGGTTTAGAGTTCCTCCTTCAAGTTGTCTAATTCTCGCACTTGCTTTTCAATAATTTTCCTGTAGGTATGCAAATGAATTCTGTTCAACAGAGGGACTTCTCTCCCCACACCAGAGGCCAATTTTTGCCACCTTCATTTCAATATTCTTTGCTTCATTAACTCTGGCCGCCTTTGACTTCTTCTTTGAACCAGTTATAGCATCTGCTTAGTTGCCTCATTTAATTAATGAATAAATGAAAAATTTTAAATGTGTATTTTATAGTGTGAATGTCATAATATTATAGGTATGGATTGCAGAGAAAGTGGCATTTATTGATCTTAAAGGTAATTTGAGATTTGAATATTCAGGATTTTTCTGTGAAACAATGACCTGTCACAAAAAACTTAAAAGTCTTTGGAATTAAAAAAAAAAAAATCCTGGGTGTCCTAAGAAATGCTAGGTGAAGCTCAGTCACATGGCCAGGGTATCAGAGATCTGTAGTGGTTTGTGCCTTTGAGCAATGCCTTTGTGCTATTTGAGCTATTTGTGCCTTTGAGCTATTTAACAACTATGTAAGTTGCAGAAAATTGATAGCAATGCAAATAATTCTTGCCCAAATATATGCAAATGGATTTTCTCTGGTGACTGTTGCATGGGAGGGCTGTTGCACTCTTACTGCCTGTTGCTCCCCAGATCCTAAATATCTTGGCTGCTAGGAGGGAGTGAGGATATGTGAATTGCATTTGGCATGTTAAGGTAATGTTTCTCCACCCCTCCAGTAGAAGGCAGCTCTTGCTTGCAGCTTCTGTAGCCAGTTGCTTCCTGGTGCTTTTCCTGATGGATTTGCTGGCAGTCTGCTTTGTATGAGCCATGAGATAGAGGCCACCTTACTTTCTCCCCTTCTCTGAACACAACTAGAGTATGTTTAACACACTCGCCAAGTGGTTCTGAAACTCAGTCAAGTCGGAGAACACCTGACCTCTTAACTACAACTAGTGATGTTGTGCTGTCAGTGTCACAAAGGGCAGTAATCCATATGACCCAGCTAGAACGACCATACAAATATTTTTTATGTTAAATTAAAATCTGTACCCCTTTAAGTTCATTGTTAGTCCCAGTTTTCCTTCTGGCGCAACCCAGAATTGAAGACACTCTCCATTCTTCACGACAATCTGTAAACAGTCAGGTTAGCACCAAGTGCACAGAATCCCAAGAAAAGTATCTCCATTTTCTATAAATACTTCTCAACCATGTTATTTATTTTACCATCACCCATTAAGAGCCTATAATGTGCAAATGACATAAAAAAGGCTAAGGCTGTCCACTACTAAAAGTTACTTTTTGAAAGAGTAAAATAATCTCTCATGTAAGTATAAATATATGTCACATATTCTATTTAGCTCATTTATGAATGAGGGAATCAACAAGTATTGTTCAAAGGTTATCCAAAAGAGCAGCCTATTAGAATAAGGGATTGAATTTGTTAATTGATGCAAACCCAAGGGAAAGAAGCAGTTTGATGAAATCTAAAAGACCTACTTCAACAACACCTGAATGATAAGGAAGCAAAACAGCCTTGTTACGGATATGGAAAAAGCTTGAGTGGTCTGAATAGAAGATCAAGCCACTCCAGCATTCCCTTAAGCCAAAACCTAATCCAGAGCAAGGCCCTAACTCTTTTTAGTTCTATGAAGACTAAGAGAGGTGAGGAAGCTGCAGAAGAAAAGTTTGAAGCTAGCAGAGATTGGCGAAAGGAAAGAAACCATCTCCATAACAAAAAAGTATAAAGTGAAGCAGCAAGTGCTGATAGAGACTGTAGCAAGTTATCCAGAAGGGCTCTAGCTGAGATCATTGAGGAAGATGGCTACACTAAACAACAGGTTTTCAACACAGACAAGATAGTCTTCTATTGGAAGAAGTACAGGATTTTCATAGCTAAAGAGAAGTCAATGCCTGCTTCAAAGCGTCAAAGGACAGGCTTTGTTAGGGGCTAATGCACCTGATAATTTTAATTAAGCCAATATTCATTGACCATCCCCCAAATCTTAGGATCCTTCAGTCTGATGCTAAGTCACCTTTGCCTCTGTGCCAGAAAAAAAATTATTCCTTTCAAAATATTAATGCTCTTTGATAATATACCACTTTCATGAGAGGAAAAAGATCAGTGCAACAAACTTCATTATTACCTAATTTTAAGAAACGGTCACAGTCAATTGAACCCTCAACAGCCACCACCCTGATCAATCAGCAGCCATTATTATTGAGGTCAAACCCTTCACTAGCAAAAATACTATGATTTGTTGAAGGCTCAGATGATGGTTAACATTTTTCAGCAATAAAGTATTTTAAAATTAAGATATATACATTGCTCCCCACCACATAATTCTATTGCACACTTAGTAATGTATACATAACTAATATATACACTAGGAAACCAAAAATTCACGATTCACTTAACTACAATATTTGCTTTATTGCAATGGTCTGGAACCAAACCTGCAATCTCTCCAACGTGTGCCTGCAAAGTCTTCCTTACCTAAGTCTAGATTTGTTTTTATTGACATCTTCCATCTCCATCTCCATACCAAGCCTGGGTATGCTGCCTGATGGGCCTGTGTCCACCACCAGGCTCTGCTTCCTGCATCCTTGGATAAAATGGGGATTCATTTTCTGGTGCAAGGGTTTCATGAAACCATCACAACTAAGAACAGAGGAAGAAGAGGCCTTTCTGGAAGCTGCTAATTTTTCTGCCATTTTTCCACTGAGCTCATCCCAATCTCTTCTGGGCTCTGCGCTCTTGGTAGAAAGCTTGTCTACCTGCCCAGTGTGGCAGAGCAGCTAGGAGTGCTCAGACTTCTGCCAGTGTATTTAAGAGCAGCACATCCCTGGGGGAAGTACCTCCTTCCAGGCAGGCAACTGAAATTCCCCTCTTAGCTGCAAAGGACTAGACAAGCAGCCCTATCGTAGCAGTCATATCAGAAGCTTCATGCAACCCTGGGGCAGAAGAGCTTCCTGGCTCACCCTCATACACACAGTGATCATCACCACCTTTGGACAAGGTCCAGTTCTTAAAACTGAATAAACACTGTTCTTTATGCTATTCAAAGCTTCCCACACAATGCTAGCTCACCGGACTGCACAACATCTCATCTTTATCTGGCCACACAGTCCCTTTCACAGACCACACAGCACAGACAGGCAGAATGCAGACAGCATGCCACAGGCTTCAGTGGGTGAATCTGCCTAGAGTGAGTCACCCAGCCCTAAGGACAGTAAGTGAGTCAGAAGCAGCTCTCTCTCTCTCTCTCTCTCTCTCTCTCTCTGTGTGTGTGTGTGTGTGTGTGTGTGTGTGTGTGTGTGTGTGTATAGGAGGGGAAGCAAGAGAATGAATTAGAGTGTGTCTTGGCAGGCCATATCAAGGGGATCTCTTCTTGTAGCATTTTTCTTTACAGGATTTTCTCCAAAAGATAAGGAAAGAAAACATCTAGCCACACCTACTCCATTGCTCTAGATGTCTGAGGCATCAGAGGCGCATCTGTAGGTTCTGAGGTTCCACTGGATGCTTTCTTTTTAATTGAGCATCTCCTTGTGC